CACAACCCACTGAATCAAGCAGGAATCAGTGAGTCCATATTGACACACACGCACATAACGGAGGCTCACCTCACAGTACAACATCGATTATAAATGGCGACAATGACAGAGATGACCCCTTCGGTATTACAGGAGGAGCTGGTGGAGGCTGCAGTTAGCAATGGAGACCAGGGTGCAGGCTTACTAAGGAATAGGATATTGGCATCATGGCAGCTTGTCTCCCCCAAACAGTGACTTGACAGTGGAGAAACCTGGCAGATACCAACCTGACTATACCGTCAAGGTGACCGTCAACGCGGGACAGGCCCACGGCGTATGCCTCCAGATGCAACGCACTGAGAAGAGCAGTGTTGTGTCCTAGCAGCCCACCATGACACACGCCTGACTCTGATCACGAGGAGACAGTGGAGAGACCCAGGGTGAGGGTCACCTGATAGAATAAAAGACTGTACTCTTTAAGACTGTCAAGGCCACAAGAGACAGGAAAAGACTAAGGAACCAGTCCAGGCAAGTGAAAGCAATGCATGTTTACAGAGAGAACCCCAGTCAAGAAAGGAGAAAGCCACTATTAAGACAGATGGCCAAATCTGAATGGTGGCTGTGCCCTGGACAGCAATACTGTACCAATGTTTATGTCCTGGCGGGAAGGAGTGTATGGTTGGAATACAGGAGTATCCCTGTTGGGGGAGAGGGAGTATAAACTGCAGTGTTTAGGAGTAATGGGTCAACACATCCCTCAAGAGAGAAATGGGGCAAATGCGGTAAAATTTTACAATTAGGGGATCTGTGTGAAGTGGTATTTACACAAATGCAAGGGAGGGGCAGGGAGAGAGGGCAGGAGGAGGAGAGGGGAGACACATGGATGACTTCATAAGCACATGACAAAATGCTCCATATCACCTCTCATCAGAGAAAGGCAGATTAAAGCTGCAATGAGATACCATGACACACTTATGTGAATGGCTAAAATCCAAAGCATTGACAACACCCAATGCTGGCAAGGACGTGAAACAACAGGACTCTCACTCATTTCTGATGAGAATGCAAATGGTGCAGCCACTTCTAAGACAGTTTGGAAATTTCTTACAAAACTAATCATACTCTTACCATTGACCCAGCAATCGTGCTGCTGGTATTCACCCAAATGATCTAAAACCTTACCTCCACACAAAACCTGCACGTGAATATTTATAGCAGCTTTATATATAATTGTCAATAGTATTTTAAAACAACCAAGATGTCCTTCAACAGGGAAATGGATAAACAAACTGTGTATTATGTGCCACCAAAATCTATACATTGAAGTACTAACCCCCAATGTGACTACATCAGAAACAGGGTGGTCTTTAGGGGGCAGCTAGGTTAAATGAGGCCCTAAGGGGGAGGCTCTAACTGATAGGACTGTGGCCTTATAAGAGATCTTCCTCTCCCTTTCCCTCTCCCCCTACACCTCACCTCTCACTCTCACTCCTCTCTCTCCATCTCCTCCCTCTTCTCCCCCCTCCCAACTGTAAGACATTCTGGAAACGAGAGAAGCAGTGAAAAGATCAGTAGTTGCCCAGGAAGAAGGGAGGGGGTGAGCGGAGCACAGGTATTTGAGGGCAGTGAAACTGTTCTCTATGATACTCTAATAATGGATACATGACATTACACATGTGTCAAAATCCACAGAAGGTACAACTCACAGTAAACCTTAATGTAAACTATGGACTTTAGTTACTGGCTCATCCATTATAATACCGTAAATGTACTACACTAATGCAAGATAATGGGGGTTGGGGAGTGTAATATGGAACTCAGTCTACTATCTGCTTATTTATTCTGTAAATCTAAAACTGTATAAAGATAAAGTCGATTAAGCATTAAAAATAACTGTGAAATTCAAATTCCAGTGTCCACAGTGAAGCTGTCATGCTGGAGTCCAGGAACTGCGAGAGAGACCATATGACCTAAAGTATTTGCTATCTGGACCTTCACAGAAAATGTTTTCGAAATCTCGCTCTAAAATTTCATCACTCAAGTTAAAGTAGGAAGAGCACTCCCCATCACAGCTGTTCTGAGCTAATCAACTCTTCAATTACTCAGTTGCTAGGGTCACAAGAAGTACTAATTATATAATCTGACCCTTTAAATAGAACTGGTCAGCTTATAATAAAAAAATCAAATCAGTTAAGTACTTCCCAGAAATAAAATGCATATTCTACTGAAAAACGCTAGCAGACAGAAGCGTTTCCCTCTAGTGCCCACAAAATCTATCCTACTTACTGAACACCTAAGGCATCAGGAATTAAAGTGTGAACTAAGAGGGGACTATTGACAGCTTGAAAAGAAAGCCTGGGAATGGCACATTCAGGGGGACAGTGACCGACCACAAGATCTGAATGCTCTTTAACGAGAACATGGAGACCAGGGGTCAACTGTGCCGATCAGTCAGGAAAGTGCAGCCTGTGTATCAGAAGAAAAATGTAACACAATGCTCCCAGGAAGTACCCACAGCTATAGCTTAAGAAACAGCATGAAAATTTAGTCGTTTACCAGCTGAGAAAACAGTCTTAATGACCTAATATAACTGGGGGATCTTGGTAAGAATCCAGTCGGTAGAAATAATTCAGGGAAGCAGCACAGAACATCGACTGGAGCACAGACTTGGGAGGCAGACCAACCTGGTTCGGATCCTGCTTCTGCTTCTCTCTAGCGCCAACAGCGAGCATTCCTTCTCTCTCAACCTCAGTTCACTCACTTGTAAAATAACAAGCTCACTGGACTGTTGGGAGGATTTAATAAGATAAAGCACCTGGTGTGTGTGACTCTGGTTGAGCGTCCAGCTATGAACCAAGAAGTCACAGCTAGATTCCCGGTCAGTGACCACGCCCAGATTGCAGGCTCATCCCCAGTGGGGGGAGTGCAGGAAGCAGCGGATCCATGATTCTCTCTCATCACTGATGTTTCTATCACTCTCTCCCTCTCCCTTCCTCTCTGAAATCAATAAAAACATTAAAAAAAAAAAAGATAATACAGCCAGCACTGGTTTGGCTCAGTGGATAGAGCGTCAGCCTGCAGACTGAAGGGTCACGGGTTCGATTCTGGTCAAGAGCATGTACCTTGGTTGTGGGCACATCCCCAGTGGGGGGTGTGCAGGAGGCAGCTGATCAATGTTTCTCTCTCATCGATGTTTCTAACTCTCTATTCCTCTCCCTTCCTCCCTGTAAAAAATCAATAAAATATTTTTTTAAAAAAAAAAAGATAATACATGCAAGAGTTCAGCAGGGCACCTGACAATAAAATGCTAAATAAATGGCAATTGTTCTTATTTCTGTTATATTTAGCTTGGGAAAATACTCTTGGAGTAGATGGTCTAAAGCAGCGGTTCTCAACCTGTGGGTCACGACCCCTTTCAGGGTCTAATGACCCTTTCTCAGGGGTCGCCTAAGACCATCGGAAAACACATATATAATTGCATATTGTTTTTATGATTAATCACTATGCTTTAATTATGTTCAATTTGTAACAATGAAAATACATCCTGCATATCAGATATTTACATTACGATTCAAAACAGTAGCAAAATTACAGTTATGAAGTAGCAATGAAAATAATTTTATGGTTGGGGGTCACCACAACATGAGGAACTGTATTAAAGGGTCGAGGTATTAGGAAGGTTGAGAACCACTCGTCTAAAGTTTCTCCAGCAACTCATAGAAAATTTACCCAAGGGTTGAACTAAATCTCTAACCGTAATTTAAAAGAAGTTCTGCCTTTGGAAAATCAAGTGAAACTTCAGTTCAATAAATGAATGAGATGCCACTCTGCTACTGAGAAGGATGGTCCAAGAGGAAAGATGAAGATGCTTTGGGTTCCCCCCAAATTCCAAAGCTGGTGAATGGTGTAGGCTCAGCACAGGGCCACTCCAGAACCTACACAATCCCAATTCCCACTAAAGCCCAAAAAGAGTACTGTATTAGCATCAGGTCTCCCACTCCCAGGCGGGATAAGGTTCCTCTAGAGATGACAATACTTCTCCACCTCAGTCCCAGCACATTCCTCTCCCCCCACCCCACCACCACCACAAAGGGAACTATCCTAGCAAGGAAACCTACAGTTGTATCTGGAGAACAGTCAGGACTACAGGGCTTGTGGGTCCGTCCAGATGAGCGGGTCCTAAGGCAGGTGCCGGGGTCTCTACTTCTCTGCTACACTGACAGACATCAGCCCAGAGCAACAGTGGATGCCGCAGGACGAACATCTGTTGCACACACATTTCACACACACAGACACGTGCATGTGCACATACACAAGTGCACACACTTACAAATACATGCACTGACAAATATACATGTGCACACACATACACAGGTACACATACACAAGCGCCGCACGTACACAGGTACATGGATGCACATGGGTGAACACAGGTATGCACAAGTGCACAGGCATGCACGTACACAGGCACACACATGCATGTACACATACACACAGGTGTACATATGCACACACAAGTCAGTGTACGTACCTAGGTACATACACATGCGCGCACAGGCACAGGTACATACACACATGTACACACGGGTGTACATGGGTACGCACAAGCCCACCCACACGTACACAGGTACACACGTGCACATACATAGGTACATACATACCACGGGCACACAGATGTACATAGGTACACATGAGTGCACGCACGTACAGGCATACACACGCATGCGCACAGGCACATACATACGCACGTACACAGGCACACGCACGTACACGCACACACAATCCGGCAGCCACCCGGTCCCACGCTCCACCGAGGCCTCCTGCCCTCCGCGCTGGACCACGTCGTCCCGCCCCACAAAGTCCCTGCCTGGTGCGCCCCAGGGGGACAGTGACAACGGACGGCCATTCCCTTCGGGAGTCGGCAGCCCTCGTCCGGCAGACCGTCCCACCTGTCACCGCCGCGGGCGGGCGGGCGGGCGGGAAGAAACCGAGCCACCCGGGCCTTTCTGGACCCCACTTACCCCAATCCTCCTCCGGCCGCGGAGGGAGCCCCGGGCTGAAGGGCGAGGCCATCGTGCCGGCAACGCCGCCCGCGCGCCCAGGCACACGCTCGGGGCCCTGGGACTCGGTGGCCCACGCGGGGGCGGGGATGGCGGAAGCGGGCGGACCGACGCAGCGCACGCCGAGGAGACGGTGGCCGAACGCGGACAAACTGCCTCACTGCGCGAGGTCCCGCAGGACCCGAGAGGGACGTCCCAGACCGCGGCGACGCCGACTGCGCCCCTCCGCGCTGGCCGCGCTTCCTGTCCCGCGGCTGTAAGAGGGAAAAAGACACGCGAACCGGCGTCAGCGAAATAAAGGATCGATGGCGCTGACCGAGAGGCAAAGCCCCTGCGGTAGGAACCAAGCCCCGCGGCGGATCGGCCCCGGAAGGGCCGGCGACCACTTCACACGCCACCGCCCTGCGGTGCACCTGCAGCCAGTGCAAAATAATATCGACTGTCCACTGTGATGGGAAATTTTGTAAAGTAAAAACCAAAAAGGGCCCTGGCCGGTTTGGCCCAGTGGATAGAGCGCGGGCCTGCGGACTGAAGGGTCCCGGGTTGGTTTGGGTCGGGGCACCTGCCCGGGTGGCGGGTCGATGCCCAGTAGGGGGCGTGCAGGAGGCAGCCGATCAGTGATTCTCTCTCCCTCTCCCCTCCTCTCTAAAATCAATAAAAATATTTTTTTAAAAATCAAAAGGGAAAAGTGATGCCCGTCCTGAACAACTGGCGGGTTTCCCGAACACCGTCAGCAGGTCTCCGGGCAGCACCGGAGCTGAGAGCGCGATCCGGCTGTGCCCGGGCCGCTCGCCATCAGCGTCCGGGGCCGCAGACCCGCGGGAAAGGAGCGCCGGCGCGGGCCCGGGCCGGCCGCGGGGGGACGCTCCGGGACACGGGCGGACGGGCGGACGGGCGGACGGGCCAGTCCCCGCGCCCAGAACCGGAGAGCGAGTCCCCGCGCGCCTCCACGACGGGGGGCACGCCCACCCTTTTCAGGACGGAAACCGACCCAGCACCGAGCCTGTCGTCGGAGACGTTCCCAGAAGGCGACTCACCGGGATTCGCGCCTCGCGTCTTCTCAGGGCGCTGGCGACGCCAAGAACACGTCTCCCACGGCTCCCAAGCCCCACGCGTCCCAGCATCCTCCGCGCCGCCGCGCTTACCGCGGGTTTCGTCACCCGCACCCCGCACGCAGCCCCGGCCCCCGCCCCCCCAACACCGGCGCCAGGTCCCTTTCCCGGAACGTCACTTCTGCCACCATCGGTTATGACAGCTTTCACTTGGATGAAGTTCCTAACACTCTATTCTCACCCAACCGCAAATTCAAAAATTGACATAAAAACTAAAATAAAACCGGCAAGAGCTTTCTATTCTATACCCACCATATACACTTTTTTAAATCACCATGACTGAACTCCATCAAGTTTTCATTTTTTCATTTTCAAAACTTTTACCTTTTACTAAAAGGGCCAGAGCCCTGGCCAGTTTGGCTCAGTGGCTAGAGCGTCGGCCTGCGGACCAAAGGGTCCGGGGTTTGATTCCCGTCAAGGCAGGATCCGCCCCAGGCGGGACCCTGTCCTGGGCTCCCCTAGGCGGCAACCAACCGATGTGTTTCCCTCACTTAGATGTCTGTCTGTCCCTCTCTCCTACTCTCCCTAAAAGTCAATGGAAAATACCCTCAGATAAGGACTAATAAAAAGAAGGGGGGGGGGGCAGATGATTATGAAACAAGCATTTGTGTACTTATCACCAAAAATAAATATTAACATTTTCCATTTTCACTTTAGATTTTTCCTAAGAAATTAAACATTATGAAGTTGAACTCCACTTTTCCCTCCATCCACATAGGCAATGTTTATTATGAATACTATAGGACTCATTCAAGTCCATTTTTATTTATTTTACATGTTTAAATGTTTGTAGATACATACATTTAGTGTTGTTTGGGGTTTTTAATATACATAAAAGTATCATACTCTACTTTCCAAGTCATTCAACATTACTTTTTGATATGTGTTTAAACTGTTTTTAGTATTTATTTGAAAAGAAATACACACACACACACACACACACATATATATATATATATATATATATATATATATATATATATATATATATGTTTTGTCCTTTCCCTGATGGACATTTAAATTGTTTCAATTTGTGTGAGTCTCCTTATTTACATGTGCAAGCATGTCTAAGACATATGCTAGGTCATAGAGGAGCATTAATATTTGCCAAATTACACCAATTTACTCCCTGGCTAGCAGTGACAGGTTCCCTTTGCTCCACATTCTCACCAACACTAGATACGGTCACACTTTACACTTCTTTGCCACTGTGAAAGGTGTCTATAATTTACATTTTTCTGACAAAGTCATGAGGCATCCTTTTTTGTGTTTATTAAACCTTATCTCCTCTCCTGGGAATGTCCCATTCCTATCTTTTATAAAACTTGCTGTTCAATTTTCTTTCTCTCAATCATGTGTACCCCTCGACAGCTGACTGTTCATTTCACTGGTGCATATGCTACAGAGAGCTTCTAGGCCAGTGATGGCGAACCTTTTGAGCTCGGCATGTCAGCATTTTGAAAAACCCTAACTTAACTCTGGAGCCGTGTCACATATAGAAATTTTTTGAAATTTGCAACCATAGTAAAACAGACTTGTATTTTTGATATTTATATATTTAAATGCCATTTAACAAAGAAAAATCAACCAAAACAATGAGTTCACGTGTCACCTCTGACACGCGTGTCATAGGTTCGCCATCACTGTTCTAGGCCAACACTTGTCTTTGTTTATGAGGTTTTTATCCTGTGAGTTTTCATTTCAGTGGCGTCACATTTATCCATCCTTTTTGTTTGTGATCTCTGCTTTCTGTATCTTGCTAAAGAAACCCTTCCCACTCCTGAGGTCAAGATCTTTTTTAATTTCCTTTTAATAGTTTTACAGTCTTGATTTACACAATTTTTTAATTCAGTTACTGGGGTAGAGTAATTATTGATTTTTATACAGCAATCTTGTATCTTTTTTTAAATATATTTTATTGATTTTTTACACAGAGGAAGGGAGAGGGATAGAGTTAGAAACATCAATGAGAGAGAAACATCGATCAGCTGCCTCCTGCACGCCCCCTACTGGAGATGTGCCCGCAACCAAGGTACATGCCCTTGACCAGAATCGAACCTGGGACCCTTCAGTCCGCAGGCCGACGCTCTATCCACTGAGCCAAACTGGTTAGGGCTGCAATCTTGTATCTTAAAAAGCTCTAATTGCCCTGACCAGTGTGGTACATTGGTTAGAGCAGAGCCTGCTCCCTGAAGGGTTTCATGTTGGATTCCTGGCCAAAAGCATGTACCTGGGTAGCAGGTTTGATCCCTGGCATGTGTGGTAGGCAACCAAATTGATGTTTCTCTCCCTAACCCTTCCTCTCTCTAAAATCAATAAAAACATTTTTTTTAAAAAAGGAGTCTTAAACACACTTTTCTAAAATTTTAGATACCTGGGCTTCCTGAACAGTGACAGACAACTACACCATAGTCAGTGTTTTCCTCATAGCCTTTCCATCTACATTTCCAAGAAAAATCCAGACATGTAGATTTACTAATATCTCTAAAAAGAGATTTCTAGAAATAAAAGAATATCTCTATTTAAATAGTTTCTAATTTTTTACATACTTTTGTTCATCCAGATCTTAAGATCACATAACTAACATTCTCAAAACCAGAACTCTTTAAAATACATGAAACAGAGGAAGTATCTGGGTTATAGATTTTAATATCAAATAAAGTGTAATTTACATGACGAAGAGGTTTTGAGCCCTGGCTCAATTGGTTGGAGCACTGTTCTGTGCACTGAAGGGTCAAGGGTTTGATTCCCGGTCAGAGCACATACCCAGGTTTCAGGTTTGATCCCCAGTCAGGGCTCGTATGGAGACAACCAATTGATGTTCCTCTCTCACATCAATGTTTCTCTCTCTCCCAAATCAATAAAAAAACGTATCCTTGGGTAAGGATTTAGAAGGAAAAAAGTCTTTATTTCCATATGAAGTCGTCTTAATACTTAAACAGTGTCCAAGGCACATCAACTGAGTGCATCTTCTCACACTTCAAATGAAACGCCGACAGTCTGAACACCAGGACACCGTGTGAACGATGAGAAGCAAGTAGCATGCACCATCCAGCAAGTTTCTTTTTCAGATATCAAATGTCACAAGTTCACATTTTTCTCGTTTGTGATCCCAGAACCAGCAGCGTTTTCATTTCATCCACTCTATTCTTGTGGATTTGAAAAGCAGGGGTTATCCATCTACCACAGGAGCACTGTTCACCATACCAATTGAAAGAACCCAACTTGGCATTGCATTTGGGGCACAGAAGCTGAAAAAAAAGCAAATTCCCTACTTCATTCATTCACTTTTGTACAAAACAATTATCTTTGGCAACAAAGAATATAGAAACAGGACCTGGGCCCTACCTTCAAGAAGTTCAGATCTAATCGATGGGATGCAATGGGATAGCAATTTCCTACAATAGCTGTGTCAAGAATAAGAAGCATGTTGTACCCTAGCAGGTTCAAGGAGGAACAGATTAACTCCAGCACCAGGGGGAAAAGGTGAAGCTTAAGACATGAAATAGAATGTTTCATAGGTGTGGCATGTGTGCTGGCTTTTAAATCAGTCCGCAACTTAAGATTTCAAACCAAAACAATCAAAGCTAAAGGTAGGAAAGCATGTTAGGATTCTCATGTTCTGTTTCTGATATTCAGAGCCTATAGTTAGGCCTCAGATTCCTGCCTATTTAAAAACAAAACAAACTAATACTCTAGTAAAATAGGTAAGTCCAAAAATGCTTAACAAGTCTACTGTATTTTCTTCTAATGTATTTTTAGCACTAAAAAGAACTTAGACCAACACCTCTCAGTCAAAAGTGGTTCACTTTTTATTTATTTTATTTTATTTATTTTTTCCACTGTGCAACCTGTTTCAGTGCCTGCAGCCTACGGGCAGAGGCCAGGCAATGGTTCGAGACCACAGCTTGCTCTGGCCTGGGACCTATGAGAGACCCAGGGGGACGGGCCTGCCATCAACCCAAACCCATGCAGAGTGGTTCACTATTTTAGAACAGCTGGTTTTTGTTTAATTTTTGATAGATTCTTGTCTACACTAAAAAGATATAATCTTCAGAAAGAAAGTAGTTAAGATGGAGTAAAACACTAGATAAAATATGGTTTAAAATGCAACAAGGAACAAAAGATAGATGATTTAATGAAACTAGAAAATCAGGTGTATCCTCACCTGCCCATCCATCACTCCCAGCAGGGCGGGTTCCATCCACTGCACAGGTTCAATGAAATAGGATGTGCACTGAGCCCGACTCCCCGTGACAGGCACGAGGGATGGTGCCCGTCTCTTGTGGGCAAAGGCTATGGAGCCACTTCCTTCATTATGATCCAAAATGCTCGAACTTCGAAATAAAGACCTCCTGCAGCCTCCAAACAAACAAAAGCATTAATGACTTCCAAAGTAACAAAAAAAAATAGATGAAATGTGCAGTTATCTCTTAAAGGGTTACTTTAATTTTCAGTAGTCTCTACAAGTAATTTGATTGCTTTACTACTAAGAATTTACATTCTTGGAAGCAGATTTGAATTTGAAATGTCTATAGTATTCAACTAAACAAATTCTCCCTACAGAGATTTAATAAACTGAAACTTTCAGTACTTTTCAGCTGCTGAGACAAGATAAAATCTCCAGAAAATACAAAATATTTTACCTGCACTTTCTACATTTGTAGAGAACCTCCTCTTTCAATCCTTGTGAAACCACAGTTGGGTCAACAGCAAAGAGTTCTTGAGGTAAGCTCTGCAGCTCTACATGACAATGACAATGTATCTACTGGTTACACTCTGCATTTTCAGACAAAATTCAGTTAAGTCAAATTGAGGCAACAAGTGCTAACCTCAGAAATTTTTTTAAAAAGCACCCAGCGTTGAAAAGGTAGGATGTGGTAGGAGATCCCTTGGGTTCTGGGCAGACTGCCTGAGTTCAAATCCCAGACCCACCACTCACAATCCATGTGACCCTGAACAAGGTATTTCTTGCTAAACCACAGTTTCAAAAGGAAATAAAGGTCCTGTCTCA